TTTCTGTTTAGGATTGGGATTCTTCTTCTAAAGTCTACTACCTCTTTATACTTCTAACTTCTCAGCCTCAATCTCTGAAATTTTATTTAATACACATTTATTAATTTTCTAGGATTGGGTTTCCGGTTCCTTCTAGAGTCTTCTTCTAAACTACAGCTTTAAATGGCCTCTGAAATCTTCACTAATTAAATCTTAAGCTTTTCAAATCTAGAGCAAGCCGTTATCTTTCCTGCATAGCATTAAGAACTTTACCACTTGCTCTTTCTTATACAGCACTATACAATGTGCGTCTACATTGATTGGCTCTTGGGTCTTGTATTGCCTGCAAATTAGCAACAAGAAAACGCAGATATATTCACTCATAGACGCGTCGAAAAAGCCATGTATCTATACAAGCACAAATAGATCTTACAGCATGAACGCAGTGAGAAACAAAAGAAAATAATTTTCTGAGATGTTATTTCTAAGCCGTAATAGAAAAAAAAATCTGTGGTCAGTATAGGACGCATAAAAAGGCGCCATTTGCATACAAAGACCTTTTATCAGAGACGACTCGACCCCATCTCCATAATGTGACAGGCTTCCGCTTAATCCAGAACGCGTGGTGTGTGTGTGTGTCTAGGGCAGTGTTTGACCTCTGGCCCTTGAGCTACTAACCGCATTTTATTTGTTTATATGTTTCTTTTATTATTTGTTTCCATTTCCTTGGAAAGGACTGGAAAAGGGTTACCTTCAAAGTCCATTGCCAGCTTTGCACGCACTCAGCCGACGCATGCGTAACAAAAACATAGTCGTACACATGTAATTATGAATATCACGAGATGTGTCTGATGACGGAGGGAAGGGCGATTATTAGTGGGTGGTAGCGAAGGGGATATTTCTGCCTTATAATCAGAATTGTCCTTTGCACAAGCGAGGGATATCATAGGTTATAGAAAAAACTAATACCACTATAATAACAATTAAATGAATTCAATCCGTTCTATCTATCTATCTATCTATCTATCTATCTATCTACCTCATTTAACTATAATTATATTCATTTAACTATAATTATGTTCATATCTATCTATCTATATCTATATATATATATATATATATATATATATATATATATATATCGGCCTCTTCATTATCTATCTATCTATCTATCTCGGCCTCTTCATTATCTATCTATCTATCAGTTGGGCACCTCGGCGTGGTGTAATGGTTAGCAATCTTGTCTCAAATGATCAGTTACGACTGAAAAGTGAGTTCGATTCTCACTAGGTGCCCCATAGTTTCGGCCTTGTGCCACATCTAAGCTACGCTTGGAAAATCACTAGGGCACCTCGGCGTGGTGTAATGATTAGCAAGCTTGTGTTGCTACATCAGTTACGACTGAAAAGTGAGTTCGATCCTCACTAGGTGTCCCATACTTTCGGCCTTGTGCCACATCTAAGCTACGCTTAGAAAATAAAGGGCACCTCGGCGTGGTGTAATGGTTAGCAAGCTTGTCTTGCTAGGTCAGTTACGACTGAAAAGTGAGTTCGATCCTCACTGGGTGCTCCATGCTTTCGGCCTTGTGCCACATCTAAGTTACGCTTGGAAAATCCCTATCTGTCTGTCAGTCTGGGTCAGTCCCTATTTATTTATCTCTGTCTGTTCCTATCTATCTAATTATGTATCTAACTGTTCCTATCTCTCTCTCTCTCTATATATATATATATAGAGAGAGAGAGATCTTTTCCTATCTATCAATCTTAGTCTAAACAATAACTCTTCCATTCAATTCAAATTAATTTCCAAAGCTTTTTGAAGATATTATAAATAAATTAAATATAATATGTTAGCGTGAAATTACTGCTCTCTCTCTCTCTCTCCCTCTCTCTCTCTCTCGTGCGTGCTTTTGTTTTGTTTCGGTCAAGTATTTTCGACAGTCAAGGGCTAGATTTTATCAGAATGGTAAACATGTTTTTTTTTGTTTTTGTCTATATGTTGAGATTACTTTTATTAAAATATACGCGTATCTTTGACGTGGGATCATGTGTAAAACGATTAATTGAAGCTAGACCACACAAGAAAATAATCTATCTATCTATCTATCTATCTATCTATCTATATATATATATATATATATATATATATATATATATATAGGCACCTCTGATTAAATAAATTACAAACAATATGTCTGCTTGTTTTTAATAAAATTCGTTCATACTCACTGTTATGGTCCAGGTCATTGTACCACGGTGATGGTCCAAGGTAGAACCAATAAAGATGAACTCGAACACGAATATAACACAGATATATTACAGAATAACCCAGATATATTACAAACAGGAATATATACAGAGAAGTAGAAAATGTTAGTACGAACAATCAGGTTTAGTAGGGAGAACAATGTAGTCTCGACCAGTATCACTATTCCAATGTCTTGTAGTAATTGTCTGAACGTGACTCTGTTTCGGACTGCCTCTGACTCGACTGACTGACTCGCTCTGACAGACTGACAGACTCCTGACGGAGTTCACTTCAGACTTCAGGCTGAACGATATTCAGTCACCCTCCCACGAGGGTTTCATGTGGCACAAGGCCTTTTTAACGTGGGATTTCCGAGCCCGCGGGCTCGGCTAAAAATATGGCCATTGAACCCGTATAAACGGGTTCATGGTCGAATTATCTCCCCGAAAGAGAATCCGCCCTTCGGCGTAGCTTCCTTCGGGTTCCTCTCCGCCCAGAGAGTTCAACCGATCAGCCGATCAGCCGGTCTCAAGGACACATGGCACAGTGGATGAAGGCGTTGGTTAGATCCGGTGACAGGACCCAAGGAGTGTGAGTTCAATACCCGGTTAAGGCAGTGGAGAACTTTCAGAAGGAAAATTAACAGGAGATAACTGATAGCTGACATCCATCAAACATGGCACGTAGAACTAGAACAGTCTACCCCAGTGAGCGAAATAAAGAGTTCAGTTCGACATTCCAACCACCTGAAGAAGGCCGGAGCGTACAACGGCCGAAACGTTGTGATAAATATGGCGACAAAGATGAGGACAATAGTCCGAATAATGTAAATAATGAACATAATACCTCATCTCAGAGATATAGACAGACTTTTTATAGCACCTTCGAAATTTTAGTTAACAATTTTGTTTTTGTTTTTGTTTGCGTCACCGGTGGGCCAAATTTTACTATTTTTCCGGTAAAACACATTGATTTGTAAATTCTTGCAAAAATCATATAATAGTCAATTTTTTATGAAACTTTCAGGACGTATACACAAATGAATTAAATTTTTATTATTCTTTTTTTTTTTTAGAAAATGTTGGTAAAAATAATTTTTACATCCGTCACTCACTTTTATGAGATTTCGAGGGATTTCAATTTCGAATTTAATTTTTTGATAAATGTTTTCTATTAGTTAAATGTAGGACTTCTTAGAGAAGTAAAACCATTATTTTTTTTCAAACAGTTAGACATTTCCAGAAAATCTGCTCGTAATCCTAAAAAAATATGCAAAAAATTATAACATTATTTAATTAGGAAAGCTTCTAATTGCTTTTATAAATAAGATATATTAAGGACACTATCGCTCTAAGAAAAAAATCGACGAATAATGAATTTTTGCAAGAATTGTTTTGATTTTTGTTTTAAATTTTAATTATAATAATTTATAAAGTTTCAAATCTTTTAAATTTCTGCATTTCTTTAATTACGTTACATTATATTGTTATTAAGTGAAAACTAAATTTAACAATCAAAAATTGAAAAGGTTAATACCTTTCTTCAAATTCCGATATTTATAAAAGAATTTTTAATTATTTTTATGTATATAAACGTGCCTATTTTTGAAAGTATGGGTGAACATACACGATAATATCAGAAAATAAGAGCGATATCTATAGTAAATTTAAAGTCAACATTTCTGTAATTGGATTACGGAGAATATTTCCAAAATTTTTAAGGTTACTGAGAACGTAAAATTATCAAAAAAAAAAAAAAACTTTCACGTCATTTTGTTAAATTATTTTTTACAGATAAAGTCTCCGCAGAACAACAATAAACGTGTCATCACTTTATCAAACACATAAACATGCCTATTGTCGGTTAAAATAACAGCTACTCTTTGGTTTAGAAATGTATTATTTTAAACTGAAAGGAAATATCTGTTTCAAATTGGATTAATTATACTTTAAATTATTATTCCTCAAATAAGATTTCAGAAAAGTACATTTTATTTTTGGGTTTTTTTTTTTTTATAAAGATAATTATATTGTAATGGAAGACAACTAAATAATGGCGCTAATCAGCGATTTTAGAAAAGGAATGAAAATCGATTCCAATCAATATAATTTCTGTTTGAAATAGACCAGAGTATTTTGCTTACTGGAAATAGTAAATTTAGCTTTCAATTAAAGCTAAAATGAAAGCTTCAAGAAATGTTTTTCATTTTTTTTAAAAAGCATTTTAAATCTTAGGTATTGCGAATTAGTGGAGGTAGCCATCTTTTATCGCTTCATTGCCTTTCCGGTTTACAAAATTATTAAGACAAAAGAGCGAAATAATCTTACATATGCTGACTGACTTGCATAAAGCTTATTATGTATGCATCCCTGAAGCTGAGCGTCGATGTTTTTACTGATTTATTTTCCTCGTTCGTTGTTCTGTTATTAGATAAATGTCTCACCCTTCTTTAACATTATCCAAAGCCATCCACAAAACGTAAACCTCGTCATTTAATCAGCCACACCCTTAGTGTGTAGCGTTTGGAGCCCATTAACCAGAAGTCGAGACCTTAGTCCATCATAATGACATTAATAGCAGGGATATTTACTTGATTTGCATATAACTTGATCGGTGAGCAACAACGGTATTCCCGCCTTCGCGTAATGATGCTGATTAGATGGCGCTTATTTTATTCGCATTTACTAGCTATCTTTCCTTAGATTTTTGACTGGATGAATAAGGTAAAAGAGAGAGATTCAGAAAAGAAAACAGAGAAGAGCTGATGGTGGGGTTTAAAAGAAAACATAAGAGGGATTTTGAGTGTAATTTTTTTCTTTTAATGGGGAACTATAGGAGATAGAGTGTAGAAAGAGAAGGAAAAAAGGGGCTGGGAAAACATAGGAGAAAGAGAATAGAAAGAGGCGGAAAGAAAGGGGAAAATCATAGAAGACGGAGAGTAGAAAGAGGTTGAAAGGGCCGGAGAAATCATAGGAAATAGTGAAAGAGCGGGATAGAAAGGTGAGGATATCATAGGAAATAGGGAGTAGAAAGAGACGGAAAGAAAAGGAAAATTTAAGAGTAGAAGAAACTGAAGAAAAAGACGGAAGTCATAGGAAATAGGAAGTAGAAAGAATTGGAAAGAAAGGGAAAGTTTGTAGACAATTATAGGGCGAAACGAAACAGGAAAAGAGGGATTTCATAAGAAATAGAGAGTAGAAAGAGAAGGAAAGAAAATGGGAAATCATAGGAAATAGGGAGTAGAAAGAGAGGGAAAGAAAATGGAATTCATAAGAAATAGGGAGTAGAAAGAGAAGGAATGAAAATGGGAAATCATAGGAAATACTGAGTAGAAAGAGAAGGAAAGAAAATGTGAAATCATAGGAAATAGGGAGTAGAAAGAGAAGGAAAAAATGGGAAATTATAGGAAATAGGGAGTAGAAAGAGAGGGAAAGAAAATGGGAAATCATAGGAAATAGGGAGTAGAAAGAGAAGGAAAGAAAATGGGAAATCATAGGAAATAGGGAGTAGAAAGAGAGGGAAAGAAAATGGGAAATCATAGGAAATAGGGAGTAGAAAGAGAAGGAAAGAAAATGGGAAATCATAGGAAATAGGGAGTAGAAAGAGAAGGAAAGAAAATGGGAAATCATAGGAAATAGGGAGTAGAAAGAGAAGGAAAGAAAATGGGAAATCATAGGAAATAGGGAGTAGAAAGAGAAGGAAAGAAAATGTGAAATCATAAGAAATAGGGAGTAGAAAGAGAGGGAAAGAAAATGGGAAATCATAGGAAATAGGGAGTAGAAAGAGAAGGAAAGAAAATGGGAAATCATAGGAAATAGGGAGTAGAAAGAGAAGGAAAGAAAATGGGAAATCATAGGAAATACTGAGTAGAAAGAGAAGGAAAGAAAATGTGAAATCATAGGAAATAGGGAGTAGAAAGAGAAGGAAAAAATGGGAAATTATAGGAAATAGGGAGTAGAAAGAGAGGGAAAAGAAAATGGGAAATCATAGGAAATAGGGAGGAAGAGAAGGAAAGAAAATGGGAAATCATAGGAAATAGGGAGTAGAAAGAGAGGGAAAGAAAATGGGAAATCATAGGGAAATAAGGAGTAGAAAGAGAAGGAAAGAAAATGGAAATCATAGGAAATAGGGAGTAGAAAGAGAAGGAAAGAAAATGGGAAATCATAGGAAATACTGAGTAGAAAGAGAAGGAAAGAAAATGTGAAATCATAGGAAATAGGGAGAAAAAGAGAAGGAAAGAAAATGTGAAATCATAGGAAATAGGGAGAGAAAGAGAAGGAAAAATGGGAAATTATAGGAAATAGGGAGAAAGAGAGGGAAAGAAAATGGGAAATCATAGGAAATAGGGAGAGAAAGAGAAGGAAAGAAAATGGGAAATCATAGGAAATAGGGTGTAGAAAGAGAGGGAAAGAAAATGGGAAATCATAGGAAATAGGGAGTAGAAAGAGAAGGAAAGAAAATGGAAAATCATAGGAAATAGGGAGTAGAAAGAGAAGGAAAGAAAATGGGAAATCATAGGAAATAGGGAGTAGAAAGAGAAGGAAAGAAAATGGGAAATCATAGGAAATAGAAAGATGAAAGAAACGGCGAGGAATGGAGAATGATAAAAGATAGAGAGTTGAAAGAGACGGAAAGGAACTGGGAAAATCATAAGAGAATAGAAAGATACGAATATAGGGTGAAACATCATAGGAAATAGGGAGCAGAAAGAGAGAGAGAAAGAAAGAAAGGGGAAATCATAGGTAATAGGGAGTAGAGAGAGAGAGAAAGAAAGGGGGATGTCATAGGAAATAGTGAGTAGGAAGAGACAGAAAGAAAGGGAGAAGTCATAGGAAATAGTTAGTAGGAAGACAGGGAAAGCAAGGGGGAAATCGTAAGAGTTAGTGAGTAGAACGTAATGGAAAGGGTGTAGATAGAGAGTAGAAAGGGAGGGAAAGAAAGTGGGGGAAAATCATAGACAGAGAGTAAAAAGAAACGGCGAGGAAGGGAGAAGGATAAAAGATAGGGAGTTGGAAGAGACGGAAATGAAGTGTGAAAATCATAAGAGATAAAGAATAGAAAGAGATGTAAAGAAGGAGACACATCATAGGAAATAGAGAGTAGAAAAAGAGTGTAAGTAAGAGGGAATTCATAGAAAATAAAGAGTAGAAATGAGGGAAAGTAAGGGGGAAATCATAAGAGCTATTGAGAAGAAAGAGAGGGAAAGAAAGTGGAGAAAGTCATAGGAAATAGGGAGTAGAAAGAGAAGGAAAGAAAAGGAAATTCATAAAAAATAGGGAGTAGAAAAAGAGGGAAAGAAAGGGGGGAAATTCATAGGAAATAGGGAGTAGAAAGAGAGGGAAAGAAAGGGGGAAATTCATAGGGAATAGGGAGTAGAAAGAGAAGGAAAGAAAGCGGGAAATCATAGGAAATAGGGAGTAGAAAAAGAGCGAAAGAAAGGGGAAAATCATAGGAAATAGGGAGTAGAAAGAGAGGGAAAGAAAAGGGAATTCATAAGAAATAGGGAGTAGAAAGAGAGGGAAAGAAAGGGGGGAATCATAGGAAATAAGGAGTAGAAAGAGAGGGAAAGAAAGGGGGAAATTCATAGGAAATAGGGAGTAGGGAGAGAGGGAAAGAAAGCGGTAAATCATAGGAAATAGGGAGTAGAAAGAGAGCGAAAAAAATGGGAAAATCATAGGAAATAGGGAGTAGAAAGAGAGCGAAAGAAAGGGGAAAATCATAGGAAATAGTGTGTAGAAAGAGAGCGAAAGAAATGGGGAAATCATAGGAAATAGGGAGTAGAAAGAGAGGGAAAGAAAGGGGAAAATTCATAGGAAATAGGGAGTAGAAAGAGAGGTAAAGAAAGCGGTAAATCATAGGAAATAGGGAGTAGAAAGAGAGCGAAAAAAAGGGGAAAATCATAGGAAATAGGGAGTAGAAAGAGAGCGAAAGAAAGGGGAAAATCATAGGAAATAGGGTGTAGAAAGAGAGCGAAAGAAATGGGGAAATTCATAGGAAATAGGGAGTAGAAAGAGAGGTAAAGAAAGGGGGAAATTCATAGGAAATAGGGAGTAGAAAGAGACGAAAATAAAAGGGGAATCATAGGAAATAGAGAGTAGAAAGAGAAAAAGGGGGAAATCGTAAGAGGTGTTGAAAAGAAAGAGACACAAAGAAAGAGAGAATTTCATAGGAAATAGAGAGTAGAATGAGAGGGGAAAAAATGGAACATCATAGGTGATATAGAGTAAAAATAATCGGATAGAAAATGGGAATGCTGTGTAGAAACAACAGATAAAAATGGACGGAAATGAAGATGACATTAAGAATGAAAGAAACAATTAAAAGAAATGAAAATGTAATATAACGAGGTTCTTATTTGGAAACCTCTCTTTGGTATAATGGTTATAAATCTTGTCTTGTTAGATCGGATACGGCTGTGTGGCGAGTTCGATCCTCACTGGAAGTTTCTTTCTTTCTTTCAACCTTGTACCACATCTAAGCCGCGCTAAGAAAATCGCTATAAAGAAAGTTGTGGAAAATTTAGAAAAACAAAGTAGACAGTTTTCTAATGAAGAAATCATTTTCAATAAAGTTTAATATTTTATTTTTTGAATCAACATATTTTTATAAATAACAATCATGTCTAATAATTTTTAGACGATTAAGTTTTCTTTCAAAAACTTTAGGCAATCATTTCCATTTATCGGTTTATGCAGATTTCCGTATGTCATTGTCTTCCGTCTGAAGGGTTAGTTGTTCAAAAATACTTCAACCAAAGGCAATTTTTATGTCCCTACCCTTCTTTTCTTACACATGTATGTGCCCACACCTCTCTAAAAGAAACTGTTTTCCCCATACAAACTATACGTTGGCTTCATACAACGCGTGTTCATTTTAGTGAACCACACACAGTCCTTCATAGTCCATCGATTAAGTCTAAGTTCCATTCAAACTGCATCTTCCAACGAACCACTGCTCTGTGCAACCGACTATCTAATAATGGATACTGCCCCAATCACTGCAATTTTAACCTGCTCAAGTCTTGTCTTAACCGTTATCTTCCCCATATATCCACATAAACAGTGCCTTTTACTCTGTAAACTTCTATCTCGAGTGGCTCTTGGTCCTTGTACAGGACGAATATCATTGTAAAAAAAAACTTCATTATAAACGAACTTTTCATACTTTCTTTGTGCAGTCTGAATAATGTAAATAGTGTATATAATACCTCATCTCAGAAATATAGACAGATACTGAAGGGCCGAATCGTTGCAATAAATATGGCGACAAAGATGAAGACAATAGTCCGAATAATGTAAATAATGTACATAATGCCTGATCTCAGAAATATAGACATATACTGATTCATGTTTCTTTACCATGAGAAGCTGTGCTGATTGTCACTCTGTCGCACCAGATATTAGAATGTAAGTGATATATTTCAAAGTCGTCAAGGTTGGTGCCATCTACCATTACGTTGTCCTACTGCTATCTATAACTTTTGGCACGTCAGTGTATTTTCAATGATAACTATGCTTGCTTTAAAACGGTTAGATTTTGAAAATAATGCATTGAAATTGATATTGTTTTGCAGCTGTGAAGACTTTTCGTTTTAGTGGATACGATGTTAATGCCACGGCGCTAAATTCTCATTAGATTCCCTTACACACGTTGGATTAGAAAAAAAATACTTAGGTAAAAAAAAAAAAAAAAAAATTCCGGGTTGCTTTTGCATAGCAAAAGAAAACGGGCCTGCGATCTAAAAAGGAAAAAGAATAAATCTCTTCAATAAAAGAACAAAACGAAAACGATTAACCTTATTATTTGCTAGGTCATGGGAAAAAGATCATTGAGTGGTTTATTTTTCACGGGTTATCAACCCTTTGCGGGATATTTAAAACCAAAACACATTTTGGATTGTAAGAATAATTAATTTTTTGAAAGTGAATACGTTGTCAACAATTTCTGCAGAAAAGCAATGACTTTTATAGACACTGTTATTTAACCCATAGCTAGGGGGAGGAGATTGATTCCTACCTTTTCCCAAGGACATTTGCAAGTGAATGTAACGGACATGACTCTCTGGTTTTTTTGCTTATTATTCCGTAAATGAATGACACAATCGTAAAGAAAAAAAAATCTTTGTGACGCGTTTCGTTCTCCAAAAGAACTTCTTCAGACTAAATATTTTTATTAATGGCATGATGTATGTGTAAGGGAAGGGAAGGAAACACACACTAACATCGGTTATGATTATTTATGTGTTTTTGTATAATTATACATTCATATGAAGAAAAATACACTGAAAATAGTTTTAAACTCCTCCTATATCCTAATTATTTTACAGTATAACCCGGATATAAGAGAGTTGTCGGGACCGGAGAAGAAGTCTCTTATATCCGGGTTTCTCTTATATCCGGGTTTCTCTTATATCCGGGTTTCTCTTATATCCGGGTTTGGTCTATTTTATATACATTAACACAGGCTCTAATTTGGGACCAGAGAAAATCTCTCTTATATCCGGGTTTCTCTTATATCCGGGTCTCTTACATCCGGGTTACACTGTATATGTAATGCTCGATTTAAATCTAATCGTATACATAGGACTACAAAAATCAAGTGTAAATAATCCAGACAAGATTTTCTACAAACTTATTAACGAATAATACTTGAAAGAGTTTATAGAAACTTAATATAAAAATTGTTAAAACTACTTAAAAAAAAACAACAGATTTCATTAAAACAAAACGTAATACCTAATTCTCCATGTATAATACGCCTTCATCCATAATACACACGCCTAAAACTGTGCTGAAAGTGTGGGAAAATGTGTCTACTTATGCATAATACGTACCAAAATCGTTGTTTGGTAATCAAACCCTATAAATTTTACCTCTCCAATTTAATTACAGCCAGCGTTTCCTACCCTTATTCAAGCTGTAATTGAAGATATTTATCAAAATTTCTGATCATCACGATTCTAAAAGGAAATGGAAATACCTATATTGTGCCTACTACGCAGACTCATTAACCTGTTTTTGTTCGATAAAATGCGCAATCTACCGAATCTGTATGCTATTAAACATAGAATAATATTATTCTAATTTAGTTTTATGATAACTCTTATTTTATTTTACATTTGTAATTATTGTCAGGTACATATGATTGTATTTGACAACCTTATGGAGATCGGAATCGCCGAATGTTAGCGTCAAATTGTCGTATATGGGTTGTGAGTAGTCATTTCGCAACTGAAATCGACCTACGAAACGGCATTTTTTTTTAAAGATAATTTTGAACTATGCATAATACACACCCTTAATTTTGCATATTATATTTTAGAAAAAAAGCGTATTATACATGGGGAATTAAGGTAATAACAATCTGAAATCGGAAGGAGGATTTTATACTACAGGCCAGTGTTTCGAAACCGGTGTATTCCCGGAACCCTAGGGTACCGGAAGAGGTCGCTGAGGGTTCCACTAGAAACAATAGTAAATAGGCTAATATATGTTTGAATATTTTTTCTTTAATTTTATATTCGTAATTTTACTTTACACGCACGGCATATTGTTAGAAAAATCCTTTATTATTAAATAGAATAAGATATATTATTTAATAATAATTGTAATAATAGGGATTGTATTAAACGATGTCCATATGGCGTCAGTTTGAAACTGCCTTCACTGGTTAGTGGACAGGTCCTGTACGTGGCGGATTCGTGTGTCATTGAGTGACTCACTCGAGTACAGGACGCATGCGCGAGGTTTATATATCATGTTTAACACGTGAACTACGATAGAAAATATAAAAGAGATAGATATTAATAATGGTATATAATCATTTTTATGCGGAGTTTCCGAGAAACATGAAAATAATTTCAAGGATGGCATATGGATAAACAGTTTTGAGAAATGCTGCCCTAGATGCTCTCTCAAAGAGATGTTAAGTATAGATCTGAGCATCGAAATGTAGGTACAAATCAAGAAACAGTGATAAATAAGATAATGATTTTTGAGTAATTTTTCTTTAATTTTATATTCTATAACATACGGAATATTTTTTGAAAAATCCTTGGTTATTATTATAAAGGCTTTGACCTCATATTATTTAAAATTATAATTATCATAGTGAATATATTTAGCGATGTCTGTATGGCATCAGTTTGAAACCACATTCACTGGTGAGGGGACAGGACCTGTATCTGGTGGATTCGTGTGTCATTGAAGGACTCATTCAAGTACAGGACGCATGCGCAAGGTCTATATATTATGTTTAACACGTGAACTACGATAGAAAATATAAAAGAGAAAGATATTAATAATGATATATAATAATTTTTCTGCAGGGGTTCATTGAGATATGAAAACGATTTCAAGGGTGGCACAAGGTTAAATGGGTTTGAAAATTGCTGGTCTAGTCTATTTCCAATATCTTCGTAACCTATAAGGAAGTCATTGGTTATTACAATAAAATATAAAAGAGATAGATATAAATAATGGTATATATTAATTTTATGCAAGGATTCTCTGAGACATGAAAACTATTTCAAGGGATTTACAAAGGTTGAAAAGGTTGAGGAATGCTGGTTTACATTGTGCTAATGATTGTGTATTGACATCAACACCGTCTAGGAGGTAGACACCCTGGTGCCTGTGGTTATACGTAACATGGCAAGTCGATTTTGTACCAAGTTTCGTGATAAATTGCTTTCGCTGTTCAACAAATGTGCGATGGTTAAATTGTCGCCATTTTATATTTTCATTAATTTCGCTCATGCGTATTATTTGTTTACAATTTTGTCAACTGTACAGTGAGAAAAAGAGCATTATTACACAATTCACTCCGCCAGAAAATTGGAAACGACATGCTGTACTTCTTAGCATTAGCATTGCGTTCACGTGATAATGTAGAAATATCAGGAAGGACACTGTAGAGATGTTTGATTTCATTGGACGCTGTCTCAAAGAGATGTTAAATATAGATCTGAGCATCTAAGTGTAGGTACAAATCGAGACACAATGATAAAGAAGATAATGCATCTTTGAGTAATTTTTTTTTTAATTTTGTATTCTATAACGTACGGCATATTGTTGGAAAAATCGTTGGTTATTATTATAAAGGCTTTGACCTCTTATATTATTTAAAATTATAATAACGATAGGTAATGTATTTAGCGATGTCTAATATGGCGTCAGATTTAAACCGCCTTCACTGTTTAGTGGACAGCACCTGTACGTGGCTGATTCGTATGTCATTGAGTGATTCCCTCGAGTACAGAACACATGCCCGAGGTCCATATATTATGCATACCCTGTTAACTATGATGAAAATATAAAAGAGATAGATATAAATAATGGTATATATTAGTTTTATGCAAGGATTCTCTGAGACATGAAAACTATTTCAAGAGATTTACAAAGGTTGAAAAGGTTGAGGAATGCTGGTTTACGTTGTGCCAATGATTGGGTATTGACATCAACACCGTATGGGAGGTAGACACCCGAGTGTCTGTGGTTATACGTAACATGGCAAGTCGATTTTGTACAGAGTTTCGTGATAAAAACCAGTGATTCTCAATCGGTGTCTCACGAAATTCTAGACTTCCGTAAGAAGTCGCTAAGCGTTCCGAGAGAAACAGTGATAAAAAGGCTAATGCATTTTGGATAAATTCTTGTTTAATTTTATATTCGTAATATTGCTATACGCATATGACATATTGTTGGAAAAAATCCTTGTTTGATGTAATAAAGGATTCAAGGATAGTGGATAGATCAAGGCAACTGGAGATATCGAATGACATTACATTTGAATAGCTGGAGATTATAGCTCACAGGGAAACTGGAATAGGGAAGGGAGTTCCACAG